CATTCTGTTCTCTCGGTCAGAGCCTTTTTTGGATATTTAGTCCGTGTTAATCGATGGATGACGGACTGCATGCAGCGGGAATTCGACCGATTTAATTATATTCTATTGTGAGTTGTTATTGCGTCGAGTGAGTTCAAACCTATGTTTCAGCTAACCAACGGGTTTATAATATAAAATATGTATCCATATAATTATGTACGCGCGTTATGTTCTCTTAGCGCTAATATATTTTTCACCGGTCGTTATTCTTTACACTCGCAATCAACATCGTTCCGGTGAAAAAAAAAACCGAACTCCCAACGCGCCTTCGATTTATATAACATAAACAATAATAATATAATACGAGAAACGCTCTACCATAACGCATATATTAATATTATCGTCTAACGAATGTCTCCAAATAGTCTCTCCTCGCGGTTGTGCGTAACTCGTCGCACGCAGCAATCGCATTATATATATTATCATCATAATATACGCGGACACGACCGAACGTGGGCGGAGTAAGTTTAAGTTCTCTCATCGTGTCCTACACCTTTGCGGATACGTATTTATGTATTATAATAGATAAAAATTCTTATGTCGTCTTCGGTGGATTTCGTACGTCCGTTTTATTATGTATCGTACCTAAAATCCACATCCATTATTTGGTTATTACAATAACGAACTACGCCCCTCAAGTCCGAGACGACGTATTAGTTCGTCATCCGGTTCCTTTCATCGCGCCGCCGTTGACCATCACAATAACGATTCAATGCCAACGGAAACACGTTTGTACCTATTATGAATTATGATATATTTTATATACATATATATATATGTATATATATATATATATAACACCTGGAGCTTTTTTTCAGTGCGCATTTGGATTGTGTTTCGTAAGGGCCCACGATCCGAATTTTTGTTTTCGTTATTCTTTCTATATTACATTATATTTTCGTTTCGATATTATTGTATATTATTTCGTTGTTGCCATCGCACACGCGTCGAGGTCGACAAATCCTCTCGGTGTGCATGCGATATCGATCGAATTGTTAATTATTATTAATTAATTAACGCGTTCGTCATTATTAACCAACGGTCGATGTATAATATATATATATTGAATACGTATTATATGCACGCGCACGACCGAGTACATATTATCGTCATGATCTATTTAATAAAAGTCGCTATGATGGCATCGTCGAGGCCTTCGGAGGAGACGTGTCGAAGGGCGGTTTAGGAATCAGAGTTGAATACAATTGGTTTCAATAACGTCCTATGCAGAATAATATATATTATATATGCTTAAATTAAATGTTCATGCTCTTTTGCCAAAAGTGAACTATATACTTTTTGAATGCCAACCTCAATAATACTCGCACCTTCAGGTACGCATAATATATATATACATTATATTTTTAAGTTTATAGGTAGGTTACTATATCCTGATTACGGTGGACGTTAACAATGCGAAAACAAACTTTGATGAATGGAAAATTTAATTAACTTAGGTCCACAAACTCAGTATATAATTGCGATTAGTTATGTGTATAATATTACGTATACGAGACTCTAATGAAAATATTATGATCGTATCGGTTTCATACGTTGAAATCAATATAATGTATTATATTTGAAGAACAGACATATTATATAGTTATCCTTCTGCAGTTCTGCATACAATTTCAATGAAAGCAATTATTACCGACGGTTTAGCCTTTAGTGTTAAGACGCCTTCTGGGTCTTTCAGTAAAACACTTTGTAAACTATTATGTCATAGGTACATGGTTAGTGAGAGTTCTTTTAAACCCTTAATTCGTTTCATTCTCACAAAAATAAATAAATAAATAAGTCCGGTGTATGTAAAGAGGTGAACGGTATTGACCATTTAAGCACTAAAATTAAGAATATCGATTTATTGTTAAATAGATTTGGATTTGGATTTTAGAACAAACATAGCCCTGGCGTGTATTTCGGTTCTCAAATGTTTGTGTTTTGATTTAAAATGACTTTATATARGCATGGCTCATCCGAAAAGGATAATCTCTACGCACATCATATTATTTTAAGCTCGTGCGACGTAAAAAATAAAAAATAAACGATCGTTTGAATGGCGTATAATATAATACAGGAGACGAGTAAAATTCGTTATTGGCGGTCGAAGATCATAAATGTTTTTATTATGTCGGCCAAAAATGTAATATGCTGTGAACCGTATAACATAGTATTATAAATATCATATCGCACGCGTTTCGAATAACCTGCATTGTATTATTTTATTTTTACGAATTAATTAAAACATTTTAGGAGGACATCATATTTCATATATTTTTTCCATCATCTAAAAAATTCTTTATGTTGTACCTATGGGTAGGTAGTGAACTCTGTACTCGTTAAACTAAAAGATTGTAATTCGTGTTATGATTCGAAGTCAATACCGAGGCCAGTATAATATGACTTTAATAATACTATTATATAACGATAAGATTTTATCCGACACCTATTGTCAGGAGTCTTCCGAGCACACACTCGAATCATCATCGATGACGATTTGCCGTGATCACGAATTTAGAGGGCTGACGCGCGTGAACTGCTCTGTAGTTGTACACTTGTAGTACGATCGTCGCAGTAATAGATGCAAGGCCGACTATCGTTCGTAAACTCCTTTAGAATATTGGGGCTTCCGGCACCCGGCGGACTGGTATAGGACCATTATTGTGGACAACGCACTTTATAGTGTTTTCCGCTCTTCAAATCAAAGTCCGATTGTCTCGCGTAGGCTAGTGAAAGACGCGAGGTTATATCATAAGCATAACAACAACAATAATACTTGAATCCTAATAATCCAAGATACCTACTCAGAACATCAACCGAGACCTCGAAATATCAGCAAAGTCAGACCCGTCGTCGCTCACGAACACCCAACTAATTCGCCATTAAAACGCTGCGATTTCTACCGTTCTGTACCTACAACACAATAAGACTATAATAAGCACGCCATTCATTGGTGAATGACGAAAACACATTCTACTTACACATCAATATAATACAAAATCTATGATACCCATTCAACTATTTTACGTATAGCTGCCGCTTTTATAATAATACATTAAAATTACATATAAATCATATTCGTCCGTATAAAAATATTTGAAACATTTGTATATAGTGGCACGTAACGAAATCTGCACGTGGTAGGAAGTACCATTACTGTAACTGGCAGCTGCAGCTATATTTGCATCGCATATTTTCATCCACCACATAATAACCTTGTCTATCGACGTTTTACTACTTATTTACAACGATTCGTACTCTGCACATGTTGTAAAACGTTAATTATTTGCGAACGTCATTTTTTTCAACGTATACTTGAACCTTTTGAACTTGAAAATGTATATGAAAACGCATATAATAATATATAATCATTGAATTCAAAACGAGAGATAATATGGTTTTGTAATTTGGCACAAGTAAAAAAAATACGCACTTAGAAAAACGACTGAAAATATCGAGAGTTAATCCATTGCAATTTATAATCGATAATTCACGAACACGGGGACGTATGTCATTGCGGAGATGTGTGAGAAAGAGAGTCTAATATAATTTTAACACGAGTATGTTGGTGTATATAATGAGTATATTATAATATCCAAATATATTTTTTAAATTTCATATTCTGATCCCGTTTAAAAAAATACTTATCTAAAGTCATGGATCTCACAACGTCGACTTTTCCAARTGGATCTCGTAGAGTATTATAAGCCCGTATGTGTGCGTATGTTATAAACTTATAAATGTTTGGACCAAGAAAAACGAATAGGATGATAATAATATGTACATGATGTCAAGTTAGGCGTATATTTTCGATTTGTAGGGTATAGTGTAGTTATGCATGACAGTTATTGTTGACACTCGTAGAACGTACTTTTGTATCTTACGAGTTTACGACAAATTTAGTATTTTTGGACTCTACTAACTTGCAAATATTACACGTTTTACAGATCCTTGCTTCATTAACAGTATCACTATGCTCAATGGTAGTTGGATTCGCGTCCGCCTACACTTCACCAGCCTTACCGTCAATGAACAGACCGGGCAGTCCGCTGACAGTAACCGAAGAAGAAGTAAGTACCTGTCTTCGTCGACTTTTTAGATATGTTACTGAGGTATTAATGATAAATTGAATTTTTATTACAGGGTTCATGGATCGGCAGTCTCATGCCACTGGCAGCACTCATCGGTGGCATGGCCGGCGGGCCCCTTATAGAATCCATCGGTAGAAAAACCACGATTCTCGCTACCGGAATACCCTTCATTATTTGTAAGTAACACTAGATAGTATAGAAAATTTCATTTAAATTCGAAAACATTTAACATCGATTTCGTAATGAATATTATGGTATTTAGGTCTAGGCCTAGTACCTACTTGTGATTATTGTTAGTATTAATACTATTAACCTACTTTTTGTTTATGTGCATATTTATTGCTAAGCACATCTTAATCTGAGTACTTGTCAATTAGAACAATTATTATTTTCATTTTTATTTATTAAACTCATAAGATAAATATATTTTCAATAATACTTCCATCTACTGTAACACTGTTAACATTTATTATTTGTTTGCAGCCTTTATTCTGATAGCAATGGCTGTTAATGTGCAAATGGTAATGGCCGGTCGGGCCATAGCCGGATTCTGCGTAGGAGTGGCTTCGTTAGGGCTTCCTGTATATTTAGGAGAAACTGTGCAACCTCAAGTCAGAGGGACATTGGGCCTTTTGCCCACCACTCTCGGCAACAGCGGCATTTTATTGTGTTTCATTGCGGGAAAATATCTTAACTGGCAGATGCTCGCTATCCTCGGCGCTTGTATCCCTATACCGTTCTTGGTGTGCATGTTCCTCATCCCCGAAACACCTCAATGGTACATAAGCAGAAGTAAGTCGTACTAGATGTTATTGTTTCTAAATTGAAACCGTATACTTAAAGACTCGTATTTGTTTTATGTGTTCGTGTACAGACAAAAGCAAGAAAGCGAAAAAAGCTCTTCAGTGGCTGCGGGGAAAGGACGCGGACGTAACGCAAGAATTTAGCGAGATCGAAAAAGCTAATCACATGGGCAAAAACGAAGAAATGCCCGGATATCTGAGCTTGTTCTCCAAGATGTACTCGAAACCCTTGCTTATATCTATGGGACTCATGTTGTTCCAACAACTCAGCGGTATCAACGCAGTCATTTTTTACACCGTCAAAATCTTTAAGGTATAACATATTATACGACACTCGAGTCGTTTTGAAATACAATTAATGAAGGCCTTTATTTTTCACAACTAAAAATTTTGATCGTTTTATTTTTCATTGTTGTTATTTAGGAAGCTGGAAGTACCATTGACGAAAACTTGTGCACCATCATCGTGGGTATCGTCAATTTCTTATCCACTTTCATAGCAACCGGTCTCATCGATAAGCTCGGCCGCAAGATCCTTCTGTACGCGTCCAGTGCTACGATGGCGGTCACACTAATCACTCTCGGAACGTTCTTCAACTACAAAAACAACGGTTACGACGTCTCTCAGTACGGATGGTTGCCATTGGTCAGTTTCGTGTTTTTCATCATTGGATTCGCAATTGGCTTCGGGCCAATTCCGTGGCTGATGATGGGTGAAATTTTGCCTGGTAAATATGATAATTGATGATAATTAGCTCGAAGAAACACAAACGGGATATAATATTCTAATTGTGACGATCTGCTGCTTACTAGCTATAGGTTTTTAATTTTTAGGGAAAGGGCTAGATTCCTGCCTATTTTTTTAATATCAAAGAAATACGCCTTTACCATAGTAATAAGCACTTACTATAATAACAATCCGCATTTTTTTTTTTTAAATTTTAAATTGTGATAACAATAAAGTTTTTTATCATACTTAAATCGAATTTCTTCTAGAACACCCTTCCCCTATACACACGCCCAACACCACTATCATATCTAGGTGTATATTAATCCGACCTGTCAAATCATAATATTCTATTTTCAGCTAAAATTCGGGGCACAGCTGCTTCGTTGGCGACAGCTTTCAACTGGGCCTGCACGTTCGTAGTCACAAAGACGTTCGCCGATTTGTTGCGGGTCTTCGGCACTGACGGCACCTTTTGGATGTTTGGCGGAATTTGTCTGATGGGATTGGTATTCATTATATTCTGCGTGCCCGAGACCCAGGGTAAGAGCTTGGAGGACATTGAACGCAATTTAACTGGAGTAGGCAAAGGCCCGGTCAGACAAGTGAGAAGAATGAGCTCGATAGCGCATCTGAAACCACTGCCGATGGCCATCTAAACGACAGAAAAAAATATTTTATTATGTTTTAACTATATAAGAAAATCGGCGTATATATATATATATATATTTTAATAATATTATTATACACCAATTTTTCTTCGGAACATTTTCGGCAATTACAAAATATGAAACCCTCAAGCTTATATTTGGCGCGTACCTCTTTTAATATTTTACAATAATAATAACGTTTTTATCATTAGATCTTTTTAACTATATAATAATATGTAAATGTGCAAAGGCCATTTTTTAAACGCGTTAGACTACACTGTTCTAAAGTGTATTATTTAATGGTGCTAAAATATTTCAGACAATAATTAACAGAATAAAAATGACTTTTTTTAAATTTATATAATATTAACTATATAATATGTACAAAAAAGAAAAATAACGGTTACACCAATAATATAGACGAAGGCCGTCTCATTGCGTTTCCACATTCCGGAGAGTAGGTGAAGTTCCAATTTTTTTATATTAAATTATTATTATTATTATTATTATTTTTCATGCTGTGATAGAGACAGAGAATTCCCTCCCTCCTGCAGTTGTATAATAATGTTTACATCTCGATACGTGTATTTAATATTATATATTTATATAAATAGATCAAATACCGATTTTTGCTATCGGGCCAATCCCTCCTATCCAAACCTTTCGAGTTTTTTTCATTTGACTTAAGAACTTAATAGTATGATACATATATAAAAAAATATATATATATATATTTATATATTATATTATTATAGTTGGGCACTCGTTATTGTACTTACAATTTAATACATTTACATTATTACACTATAATACTATATATACCTATAATATTTGTCGATACGCTTAAGCCACATTTTATATAGGGGGAGGCCTTCAAGTCCATGGAGGTGTGTGTGTGTGTGTGTATGTTTAGATTAATGTTTTTAATATTATTATTATTATTATTATTATGTAGGTGTAAAATATATGTAATTTGTAACGCTATGATATTATATACACCGTTTAATGGATCGGTATACAAACGATGTTTCTAAGTGTTTATATTTTGTTTTTTTAAACGATTTTTACGTTTCAGTATACTTGATATCTATATTTTTCCAGTTTTCCGATCCATATTTTTAAAACCTGCACGTATGGTTTCATTCATTTTGTGTAATACATCGGATCGAAATTATATAATCACTATAAAATTGTACATCAAGTTACGACTACATTAAAATACAATACAAAAACTGCGACGAAAGGATGATTTTATTTTACTAATATCAAAAAAATTAAATAGTCTTTTATCCGCAAAAGCCGTCCCGTCATTAGTGTGTACAACACAATATTCTTACGATCGATAAATCGGAAAATCGGTACAGTTATGCACGCCTATGATGTAGGTTATATTACATTATGTTTATTATCGATACAACTTTTAAAACGACTAGACTGTTTTTTTTTTATTCTTTAATAATTGTGATTTGATATTATTATGTTATATAATAATATAAATATTGAAAAGCCTCGCGTAAATATCTTTTTTACCAAGTAAATATACTATTAATACAAATACCTACTTATTGAAGTCGACTGTAAAATCGGTGTCACTTTTTTTCCAATCAGGCGGGCAAACTTTGTGATTTTATTATTATTTTTTATTGCATTAAAATTAGTTACCAATATATTAAACCATGATTTTTTTTTTTTTTGTTAGGTCATTATTATTTATTAAAACAATATATAGATTCTCGGATGACATGTTATTTATTTCTAGATTTATTTAAATTATAATATAGATTTATAATTGTGTTTTGAGCTCAAATCACTCTAAAAAAAAAAAAAAAAAAATGTAGTCCATATATATTTATATTGTCAATTAAATGAATAAAATTAAAGCAATAGATATTATTACTATTATTATTACCTACCAGCCGWAAACCTATAGTTAATCAATTAACATTCCTTATTGTACGAAATTATTTAGTATTTTATCAAACATGTATGAAATATTATTTTATTTTTTATTTTATTTTAATTCGATACATATTTCTGTCTTTAACAAAAAACATTTTTGTGGCTTAAGTGCGTTTTTCGGAAACGTGTTAATTCATTATTATAATATTTATTGTTTAATATAATATACATTTTTAGAGACTTAAACTTTTTTTATGAAACGAACATACGATAAAATATTGTTTTATTTATTTTTGTATTACAAAATTATTTGAATGTTTAGAACGAAAACATTGTTTAATTTATGTGTACAAATAAACATTATTTGTTAAAAATATTTTACTTTTTTTTTCTCCCATTTTATTAACCTATACCTACCTATGCCCTATACCTAATAATAATTTATCTACTCCTGTAGTGGATATTATCTTGTCATAGTGTCATGTACTCTTATCTAAACCATAAAGATATCAAATGCATAGAATTCTAAATTCTTAAGTGTTTATTAAAYAGTTATGTTATTAGTTATTACAGTCAATATCGACAAATTTATGATTCAAGTCATGATATATTGTGTAATATATGGTTGTGCGAATGTTCGTTTTTAAAACAATGGTCTAATTTTATCTTAATTGATTTATAATAATTTTTAATAAAATCAGAGAAACATTTTTGTTTCAGAACTGATATCATTATCTTGCGATAATGATTAATTTCTGTAACTCGATCTGTTCAAAAATATTTTATTTTGCTCCATTATTTTTTTTCCTTTATAAAAATGTTACACCGTGAAAGTGAGTTCACGTGTTAAGCGTCGTATTTCGTATGGAATAATACGTATATATATATATATATATATATATATATATATATAAAATATAGATGGCGATTTAAAGTAATTTTGACATTTACAGCACATGCTTGTAACCTACCTTATCTACCTATCATTTGGTAGTAATCGATTTATTTTATAATTATATTTAGAAACCGTGACGCACAGAGGTCTTTTAAGAGTACATACAGTTATAAAAAGTTCACTTATTAATCACTGTAGTTCAACTGTTCAAGGAAATTAATTATTATAGAATATAGTTTAAGTTATAAATTTATAAAATTCTCTGTGACACCTGTAGTATTATATACACCCACCCCCTTCGAGAACACATGTAGTTGCATCACTTGCTAACCTGCATGCCTGGGGGTCACTGCTTATACACAAACAAAAAATTAATGTTGAATAATTTGAACTTATCACAGMATTTAAAAAATATATTTTCTTTCTGTTTACAATAATATGCAATTTTTGTTTCAATGTGACTTGAAAATATTATTCAAGGTTAACCGTCCTCACTATGTAACTACCAAAACTATAAAAATCATTAAATATATTTATTTTTTTAATTATACGATGACGTTTTGAAACACTAAATGAATAAATTTGTTTTGGTTTGTATTATAAATTGTATTATTATAATTTGAAATACAATAATAGGTCCTCGTATAATATTGTGTATATTATACAATGGTGCTGTTTAATATTCATAATTTACTTCCACTTAATGTATACACATAATAATAACCTACATTATGTGGTTTAAGTTTTACTTCAAATAATAGTTAATGTCACGAGAGTGCCATTTTAAGTATACGTACCTATATATATATATATATGTATATATGTATATACCTATATACTGTACATAAATTTATACTTTTACCTTTATGTACAAATAGGCACTATATATATGCATTATATTATTATAATAATATRATTATTATACAAATTAACTGAATACTTACCTACACCTACATGTGACCGAGCTGAATAAATTATTATTGGCGTAAAAACACATGGAAAAAAGTGTCGTCTAAATGAAATATAGTAATTGAAGCCCTTAAACACGTCGCAAGGACAAGAGTGGTCGGAAAACAAAAGAAAAATATCATTGACGTGCGTGTATTATACCTCGAGATCCCAGATTTATTTTTTTTTAATACGAGACATTTTAAATCATACTTATACTTGTAATTTGCTTTGGTGTTAATTTGAAAAGGGTTGATGGGACTTGTGTTAGCAATTATCAAAACTCGTGTCGGGACATCGTGGGACACTTCATTCGAATACGGGACAACTCCTTAAAATACGCGACGTGTGGAATCCCTAGTGAACCCAAGTGCAGTCTGAGTGCACCTGTGGTAAGTATATAGCACGCGATTAAAAAATGCAACCATTTTGTATGAACTTCAACGCCAACCAAATATAATTGTCTTTACATTTAGCAAAAAATAGTACAAAACAGTTTGTACTATCTGAAGCCGAATGTGGTATTATCTGCTGCAAGCATCTAATAAATTATTTTTCACTAGATTTTATGTTGTTTCGTATAACATCCTGCAGTTACGTCACAATTGTTAACATCGAAAAAAATACTTTGAACATTTTTCGTACACGAAAAGTCAGTAGGTCATGAATTTAAAAACGTTGTTCCTATTTTTATTTTATTTTTTATTCAAGACATTTTTAACGATATAAACAAATCCATAAATAAAATATGCCATGCAAATGCAAATTTTAAACTAGTTTTCACAAATATATATGTTTAAGGTATACAATACCTATACATTGGCGAGTACGGATAACCACGAAACGGTTATCCGACGACTTCTAATGTCCGTTTTTTGTTGGTCGATAATATAAGAAAAATTCGATCTTTGTTGACATTCACTCTTCTAAYATAATATGACTTCTCGTTCCGGTGGGTTTTCAAACGGAGCACCTAATGTTTCATCGTCCGCAAGTATACATATTATTATGGATGTGTGATATACACACACGCGCGCGTATTGATATACCAAAAAGAACACAGTTTTATGCAGTGCAACTATGTGGGGGGAGGGGATGAAATTCCAGTGGAAATAATTATTAAATCTTAAATAATTATAATATATAGATATATAGTAATCGCCCATCTATATTGCCATAAGTGTKTCTCGACGTAATTCCGTTAAATTTTAATAGAAATTTGTAATTTACCCAGAAAGAATCTATCTATACGTCTGTATTATTTGCTTGGTTGTATATATTGACTTGACTACATAACCTCCTACAATTTAATCGTAATATTGTTTAATATTTTATAGTAAYTAAACAATCAATATTGTATTGTTGTAAACTGTTTTAGCTAAGAATACCTGCCGTTATGATTGACAATTATCCATTTATACGATAACTAATTTTTAACTCGTCTAAGTAGAACGTAAATAATTAGGAACATATGCATAGTTAACAKTATCTCAGGGCCACTAAATTAATGCGTATTTAAAAAATAATATATATATATATTGAACTATTGTTTTCTGATTTGAATATTTTGAAATAAACTGAATACGTTTATCTTTTATTTATGTTTATAAAATATTAGTTGAAAACATTGAGCTTAATTTATTTTTCGATTTCATTTATTGTTTAAATAATTAAACCAATCATAATATATATTATACATAATATCGTTTCCGTCGAAATATCTGTACAGGATGATCCAATAAATTATCATTATTTAGTTAACTAATAATGCTTATGTATAATAATTCATTGTTGTTACAAACTTTGTCCTAGTTCTTTATAATTGTTATAGGAATCTCATTATTTTTAAAACAAACTCATTAATTATTTCTCATTACAGCTCATTACTATATTTAGGAATATTATTCAATAAATGTTCAAAACTATTGTTTTATATTGTTATTATTTTTATAGGTTTCAAATACTAACAGACTTTTTAATTCTTAGTTCTTACAAATCTCAGATTATTAAAATTATTCAAACAATTTCTAAAATGATTACAAAAAACGAAATCAGTGGTGATTTATTTTATCTAGAATACCTGCTGAAAAAAAATCGGTGACGAATTAAGTAACCTTAGTAACAATATTTTCTAAATGATCACCTATATAAGCATACAAAATATTGTAATATAATTTCATTGTTAATAAACTACCAATAAATATGAAATACGAATAACGAACACAATTTGACTAATCATGAATTACCTATTGAATTATGTTAAAATCTGAGTTATAATAAAATGATCTTATCGTAGGTATATAGAAAAATTGTTAAAATAACTAATTTATTTACATTTTATCTAATATCTATGTATATTGTATACTTTTGTCTTGTCTGAACTTTAATAATTAATAAATTATTTGCTCATTATTTGATAAAATCTTTCAATAATCAATTTGTAAGCTGTAAACATAATACACAGCCATTTAAAATTACAGTAGGTGTGTTTACAATCTAATACATTCTTTTACTATTCATTATAGTAATGTATGATATATATGGTATAATATAAGTCCTATTTGAAAATATTGGAGATATTATGTAAAAAAAGAAATATCACAACAAAATCAAATAGTTTGTATATAACTAATATACATAGATTTTTCACCTCATTCTGTTCAAATTTTTAACATATAATCAGACAAGAAATATTTTTAAAAAGCTTATTAGTTATGTCTATAATGTTTATATATATTATCGTAGAATCCGAAASTTAAAAAATACAAGCTAAACTCAATATTTTCATATGCAATCATAAATAAACGTCGTAGGGAACACCCTGTGGAATAATTAAGTAATTAAATGAACATATAGTATATGTCACAAATTATTATACTATAGGTAGTATTAAAAGCATATTAATATAACTTATAGAGATAATCACGAATTAAATTAATTTGTCAGTTACGTGCATATATATATATAAATTACATTCATTATAAACTTTACGATATTAAACTAAAAAAGTCATCAAACGAATGGGAATCGATGTTGACGACGAGGTTTTATAGTATACTCGTATATTCGAGTAATATGATATT